GATCCTCCTGCCTCAGCCTCCCAAGCCACTGGGATTATGGGAGCAGGACATTGCCTGGCCATGGCCTGTGTTTTGGTTGAACAGGATGAGGATTGAGGAGACTCGGGTCATGATATCAGTTCTGATTATTATTTGCATTTACCTTTTGGGGAATAAACTCAGCAACCCTGTCACAGGAGTTTTAACATATCAACATCTGACAGTGGAAAGAGCAGCAATTAAACAAATTCAATCTTCCACTCAGTGCAGAGGCCGGTAGAGCAGGATAAAGCAAAAACAGGATGGAGTCCAGAGTCCAATAATCTGGCTTCTAATCCTCAACTGATCACTCACTACCAGTGAGGCCTGAGACCAGCCACCTTGCTCCTCTTGGTCTCGTGACTACATCCTCTCCAAATACTCATCTAGTTCTGGAATGGAAAGCCTTTTAGGACAGGATTTCTTAATATCTGATGGGGCCTAAATCCCAGAAAAACATACAAGTGATTTTGCATAGTTTCATGGGGTTCTCTCATCTCTAAAAGCAAATCTGAATCTCTAACCCTGCTCTACAGTAACCAGGACACCAAGCTTTTGCTTGGACTCTTCCTGTGATGGAGAGCTCACAAGGTAGTTTATTACACTAGTGCTGGGAAAATAAAGTCTTCATATTAAAACAAGCTCTGTACACTATAATGCTTAACCAATGGTCCATGTAAATAAGAAAATTCAAARGTCCCTAATGAATGGGCGTGCCTGCCACGCCCCTTGGCAGGCCTAGAGTTTGCGGAGTGAGAAATGGGAAGTGGACCTCTGGAAGCATGAATACAGACATGCAGGAGGGCTRTGTGTGCTGTCGAGGTGGTGGGCACCCTGTCTAAAAGACCAGCAGCCAGTCTCCCCTGTGCAGACAAGCGCCCCACGGCCAGGCACGCAGCAGCAGAGCCCAGCACGGAGCACTCACAGGAGCAGCCCAGAGTCCCAACGGCTGTGACAGGGTGACAGGTGATGCTGGGCCAGCAGCGCACAGGGGCACTCAGACCAGCTCTCCGCTGACACTAGCATGAGGAAGGAGCTGGGGTAGTTAGGGTCGGCCCTGAAGGACAACCAGGACTCTCAACCCAGAGGGGACAGTGATTGTGTTTCTGATAAAATAAGTTTTAAAATAGAGGAGGAGGAAGGTGATCCAGTTCCCAGCCGCTGTTTGGAAGGAGTGGACTTTCAGGGTGAGCAGGAGGGCAGGAGGCGCACGGACAGTGGGGAGGAGCAGGCGGAGGGCCGGGCAGGGGGCAGCTGCTTCCCTGCTCTCCGAGTCCAGCAGCCCGCAGTGCAGCGTGGCCCTGGAGGCCGTGGCCCAGAGCCTGCTCTCCCACCAGCGTGGAAGCATTTCTTCATCTCCCCACCCCCCACCCCGGACAGCACCCAGGCAATATGTCGGTACTGCATGAAGGAGTTCAGCAGGGGCAAGATCGAGAAGAACCCGAGCACCAGCTGCCTCTGGAGGCACCTGCGGCGGGCACACCCCACCAAGCCCGCGCAGGGGAACACAGGGGAACCGGAGTGTGTGCGCCAGCTCCTCCCTGCCCTGGCCCTCGCTCCTGCTTCCTCCGCAGCCCGCGGACGTCGGGGACCTGGGCTCCATCAGACCTGCCCACAAGATGGCAGCTACAATCCYGTCCCCTGACCGCATGCAGGAGGAGCCACGGGGCCATGGACTCTTCTGAGGTCTCTGATGTGCCCGGTCACTCACTGAGAAGTACAGCAGAGAGGAGGCCCTGGAGGGGCCATCTCCCCACCTTGCCCCACTCCACCACGACGCAGACTGCAGAGGGCATGGCGGAGAGATGCCTTGGCCTTCCCAGGAGGCACGTYGAGTCCAGGAGGAGGTCGGCTGTCTGGAAGCACTTCTGCCTGTCCCCGCTGGACAGCTCCAGGGCCGTCTGCATGCACTGCATGAACGAGTTCAGCAGGGGCAAGAACAGGAAGGACCTGGGCACCAGCTGCCTGATCYGGCACATGCAGAGAGCACACCGCTCCATCGTGCTGCAGGAAAACGGGGGCACCTTGGGCACCGGCCCGTGTACCCCACGCCGGCCACCCTGCTGCCTCCAGGCGGGGAGCCGGACACCATGTCGTCCTCTCCAGGAAAGCTGGTCCAAGAGTGCCCCTGGGCCTCCTCGTCCCCAGACAGGCTGGCTGAGGACCTGCCTGGGGACCCACTCTGCTGGGACATGTCCGGCTGTAGTCCTTCCAGGACGTGGGCGAG